TTGTATTAGGCGGCCCGAGCCAGGTCGGGCGGCCCGAGCCAGGTCGGGCGGCCCGAGCCCGCCCGAATTGTCTGAATTATTTAAACTTTTTTTTAATATTAAGTTATTTATATATATATATATATTACAATTTGAAATGAACACACGTACTATATCAAAAAATTATTTTTTTATTAATTTTTAAATTTGTAATTCATGATTGTCTCGTTAAAAACCTTACTAAGAAAAATCTAATTGGGATAAAAACTTGGCAAGAAAAAAAGAGTGCAATCATTTTGTGACGAATTACAAATTGTACAAACTTACATTGTTTATTAAATTACAAATACAATGTAAAAAGTAAATACATATTTACAAATTACAAATTTACAATTTAATTTGAAGCTGAGGGATCGTCTTCAGAATTAAATGTTAATCGATTAAATTCATCGATCCATTCTTGGCTTGCCGGTGAAATTGTATCTTGTAGACGTTGATCGGCCCGATCTCAATCCTTAATGCAAACCAAGGCTTCAACAATATCCTTTTGCAATGCATTCCGGCGTTCCTCAAGTATTCTTCCTGTCGTACTGAAGGCTTGTTTGGATGAAATAGTGGAGACTGGGATCGAAAATATATCCCTTGCCAATCGGTTAGAATTGGCCAAGTTAATGCCCGTGCCCTCCACCATTGAACTAAGTCAAACGATTCTGCCGTATTACCGACTACTAAGCCTTCACTGAGGTACGCTATAAGCTCGTTGAAGTTGCTGCCGCCACTGCCATTTGTTGATGAAGATCCACTTCCACTCACAGCTTCCGTTTGAGTTGTCTTCTTCTTCTTCTTTAACCCGAAAACATTCAAGAATGAATGCGGGTTTTCATCCTGTTGTTGCGGTTCCTGTACTCTAGAGTTTGTGTTTCTAAACCTAATCTCATATTTACTATAGATCTCATATTTTTGCCTTTATTATTGAAAATTGGTTCGTACAAGTGATGCCTAAAAATTCACCTAAGTTTTCTAAACCACTTTCTAATCCGTCTAATTTTAATCTAGGATCAAAAATTGTACCTAAACCATATAACAAAGGTAACTTAGACCAATATTTTTTTAATTTTTTTTCCATAGAATGAACATGAACTCCTAAGATTGGGTCTTCCCTATATTCGTGAAATAAAATATTAATTCTTAAAAGTTCTCCTAAGGCTAAAGGTGATGTTGGGTAGTGTGTTCCACTAAGTTTTAGAGTAACTTCATGAAACCTACCTAAAAATTGATACAAAACTTCGGTAATTTGCCAATTAAATGCGTCTATATGTCCTACTCCTAATTTTGTACACATATAGTTTGTTATAGCATCCTTATAAGGGATGCATTGTTGAAGCATAATATAAGTTGAGTTCCATCTTATAGGCATATCTAATGCTAATGCTCTATGAGGTATATTTAATGCTTGTAAAAACCTAAACCAATCTTCTTGTCTTTGGTTACTACCTTGAATCCATGCAAGACTATCTCTAATTCTTTTAATGTGATTACCCAGTTCTTTTACATCAGATTTAACTATTAAATTGATTACATGACATGCACAACGTTGGTGGAAAATAGTACCGTCACCGAATAGACTTAAATCATTTTCAAAGAATTCAATTGTTTTTGTATTGGCACTAGCATTATCTAATGTTATAGCCATTACTTTATCTCTTAATCTAAATTCATCAATTACATTTAAAATTGTGTTATATATTAAATCTGCGCTATGTGATCCTAGAACACATTTAAAACCTAATATTCTCTTATCTAAATCAAATCCTTTAAGTAATGTCCGGTTATAGCTAAATAATCTTTATGGCAATGGCAGACCAAATATCTATCGTTAACGCAACCCACTAGTCGAGTGTAAAATGTTTATTAATGCATCTTTTTTTTAAATAATTTTAATAAATCTTTCCTAAGAGTAGTTTTTGAAGTGAACTGTGCATTAGGATTGTGTACAACCTTAATATATCGTTGCCAATTAGGATGCTCTACAAAACTAAGCGGTTGATCTAAAGCAGCTATCATTCGCGTAACTTCCATACGATCTATTTGTGGATCGTATTTCTAAGTGGTTAGACCACCGGTTGCGCGATCAAAAGATAATTGTGTTTGGCGGAGTTCGGGTCCGCTAGATTGGCTAAGCTTTTGAAGACACTTTTCGGAGTGTCGTCTCAAGTGTATGGTGCCGTGAATAGTATCACCTTGTAATTTAGATAAATAATATTTACACTGAGCTATATGTTTAGTGTTACCTTCATTATCCACCTCGTCAATTATGTCAAAGTGATCCCAAACTGTCGAGGTACGCTTGCATTTCCTCCTGGAGGTTGCAACACTTGCCGACGTAGACGCAGACGCAGTCGCACTCACCGCCGCTTCTCCACGCCCACTATTGCCACCACGACCTCCAATACGTCCACCATGGCTTGGATTAGTAGATTGCTGCGTAACAAACTCATTAGTGGGAAATTGCCCTTCTTCTACATTGTGTTGGGCATCAACGGGAATACCACTATAACCAAAAGGATCCATTATAAAAAAAATAAGATGAATTTGAGAGAGAGAGAGAGCTTTAGAAAAATGTGAGAGAGATTGAGAGAAATTGAGAGGGATTGAGAGAGTTTGAGTGAGAAAAATGTGTGGGAGATTGGGGGTATTTATAGAGAAATTTTGGGGTTAAAAAATAATTTTTTTTCAAAAAAAAAAAAAAGGGATAAACAGCTATTTTTTGAAATTCGGGCAGTCGGGCAATTCGTGTTTTCGGGCAAAATTAAAAAAACTAGCCGTTTCGGGTAATTCGGGCAGTTGGGCAACTCGGGCAGGTCGGGTTTTCGGGGCAAAATTCAAAAAACTAGCCATTTTCGGGTATTCGGGCACCTCGGGCAGTTCGGGCAGGCGGGAAAAATTCGGATAAAATTCAAAAACTGCAAAAGTATCCCTTAAATTTTAAAAAGTTTTTTTTTTTAATTTTTCCCTCATACATTTTTTGACAAAAAATAAAGCAAAAAACAAAAACAATCTTAAATAAATTCTTAAATATATTTTGAACATTTAAACTCTTATTTTCTTTTCAAGAAAAAAAATTGGTGTATTAAAGGCAATTTTATCTTTTTCTCTTGTTTTTTCATCCATAAATAAATGCACGATGAATGAACTTGAAACAAAACTTTCAAATTTAAATTTAATCGGCTCTTTTTTTCAACTCTAGAATACGGCTCCACATGACGTGGAGAGTACTTTTCTCAATTAAATTAATGTGGCCTATTACTTAAATGGTGTTTAGTACGAGAATTTGTGTCATAATTTGTAACTCGTTACAATATTTTTTTTTTATAAAAAATATACGTAAATTAAAAATAATTTTAAATTCGTAAACTAAACCTCTCTTTGATCTAACAATAGCCAACGTGGAAAGCGATGTCGTGCAAAGTTGTATATTTCTGAAGCCATACCGTAGGATTTTTTTTTCTTTTTTTATACAATATGAAATTAAACTCACAATCTCTTTAGCCCTACAGTACCACTAGACCAATCGGTCTTAGGCTATAATAGGACTCTTTTTAAAAACAAATAAATAAATAACGAAAAAAAACTAGAAGGTATAGTGAATTAACTCGAAGAATGAAAAAAAGTTCAATGTGGAGTAAAATATTGTTTGGATGAAGGACTGTTGTTTGGATGAAGGACTGCAACATTCATAATCCCTACGGTATGTCTGAAAGCAAACGACAAAACCCCCTTTTTAGTTGCTTTATAAAAGGTCCTATGTGATTTTCGAAAAAAAAAAAAAAAAACAAGAAGAAGAGGAAGAAACGTCCTGTGTCGTTTATATGCTTTATACGTGACAACAAACTTGTTCATCAAACGACATGTCTTTTTGTAGACCAAGGACATGTTTGAAACAAAATCATAATTACCAATGTCATGTCGTTTTTCCTTGTTGACTGGTTCAATAGATGTCAATTCACAGGTAGACTCTCTATCAGATTTGAATTAAGAACGTCATGCTGTTTTGAGGAGAAAAACGACAACAAAATTTAAAGTGCTAAACGACTTGTATCTATCTATACAAATTTACGAGTAAAACAGCAATTTACCAATAAAACGGGATGATAGGGAAAGCGACTTGTATCTATCTATACAAATTTACGAGTAAAACAGCAATTTACGAATAAAACGGGATGATAGCGAAAGTTTGACTTCCAAACGACATATTGTTTAAGAAATTATTAACCGTGTTTAGTTGCACCATAAATTACGGACAACTTTTGTTGGGTCGGTGACTTGTTGTGATGCCGAAAGTACACGGCACCTATTTGTCAGCAAGTCCTGTCTTGGGATGTTTTTTTTTTTATTATTTTTGTTTTTCCTTATTCATGTTACTTATGATGTTTCTTCTTTTAAGGCCACTTGGTTTATTAGCTGTGAAATCAAGCACTTGACAAAGCATTGAAAATTGAAATCACCACTTCTTTTGCTTTTGCGACTATGTATAAAGAGCTTCACTCGTAATGAGTAAATTAAAGCTCTGTCATATTAAGGTTGGCAGGCACCTTTGCATGTTTGGTAAGAAGAAAGATGGAAAACAGGAAATAAAGAGGATAAAATCTAGATTAGCAAAAAACAAAAAAAAAAAAAAACAAAAAAGGGATAAAATCTAAAGGAATAAAATAAAGGAAAGATATGGTGCATTTAGAATTTATTTTAAAATAATTTTATTTTTTACATGAAAATAAAAATAAAAATATTTATAATCTCATACAGAAATTATTTTTAAAAATACGTTTGATAATTTTATTAAAAGATTATTTTTAGTATAAAAAATTTATTAATGTCTTTCTCTCTCTGTACTCGAGAGAAGAGAAAACGAAAATAAAAAATAAAAAACGATTAAAAGTCATTTTTTATTTCTCTCTCATTTTACACTAAACTAAAAAATCGTTTTCATTTCTATTTTTTATTTTTAATTGTGTCTCATTTTCATTTTTTTCTCAAAAAACGTAAAAAATAAAAACAAAACCAACTCTAAATATGGCCCTAGCTTCTCTCATTTTTTGTTTGCAAGAAAAAAAAAAAAGAGACTCACCCAGTTATATAAATTTATTTTTTTTTAGAAATTATTTTTAACACTAAATTAAACATAGTTTAATTTTTTTTTACATCATCGTTTCGTTTGTTTATTTTTTTTCCAAAGTTGGAAGCATGTAAAAATATTGAGCTTCTTAAGAGCCTATTTAGTTTGGTGATTCAAATTTTTAATTTAAGTTGAGATTTAACTTTATATTAAAAAGTTTATAAAAAAAAAATAAATGTCACTGTTTTTGAAAACTTTTTACTGTTAACTAAACTTGAATTTTAAATTCAAATCGATGAAATAAACCCAACTTAAATTTTCTACTTATTCCATTCCCAATTTCTTCTTAAAGATCCTAATGTCCCTTTTTCACTCTAAAATCCATCCAATAACTTTTTTCCTCTATTCTTTCAACTCTACCGGACATAGCATTACGGTCAATGATCCTGCGATTTTCTTTCTTTCTTTCTTTCTTTTTTTTTTTTTTCCCTGCTTCTAGAGCTAACCTCAATTCACAAGGTTATTTGGATCGATCGTTGTTCCTGTTTAGAGTTTTGGTGTCTCATTCCTGAAAACATTATTTGACCACGACTTTCCTTCAACCGGTACTAATTTCTTCTTTTGTTCTTTTTTTTTTCGTTCTTTTTTCTTTTTTTAAGCTCCTCTATTCCTCTTAAGGCGATCAACGAACAAATACAAACTCAATAGCTGTGCACGTTGAATAGTCCCAAAAGGGAAGTGGGAAAAGAGGAAAAAGGAGAAAATTTTAGTGGGAAATCCAGCAACCACAATTTAACGTAAAATGGCAAAACCTTTTGAAAACAAGCATTACAACATGGAGTTTTTCTTTTATAATTATATAATATGGCCTAATCTAAACTCGCATGAAGAAAGAGCAAGGGACATTAAAAAGAAGATGAAAAAAAAAGGGGGAGAGAAATGGATAAATAATTGAGCGGAACAAAATATTTTAGTTTCAATCTGGCTAAAATAACTCTTACTCTTCACCTGAACATGAAGGCAAGTCACTACTCTGGCCAAATATATCAGGAATTCCGTCCCAGTTCTTTTTGTCCCTTGTTTCCCAGTACCCACCTTTGTAACGGTAACACCCATCCTCATCCTTCTGGAACCAACTTGGCTGCCACCCTCTTTCTTGCAACTTTCTTGCCTGCAATCACCGTAAACGAAAAGTTCAAGTTCAACCCCCTAAAAGAAAAGGGCCCCAAAATTCCCTACTTGGATTTCAAATGACAAGTTCAGTAACAGTTTTCTCCAGCTACATAATGTTATGAATGATAATGATTGATGAATTTGAGTTTTCTTCATGCATATACTAGAGGGGGATCAATAGCTGAATACCTGTCTCTGTAACTGTTCAAGTCTTAGCTTCTCTGCATTGGCCAACTCATATTCTCCATTCTCAAGATGCCTTTGATCTGGTCTCAGCCTCGAGTCAGTTGGGGGCAATTTCTCCAATAAGCCGGGTGTTATCTCATTCAACGACATCGTAAAAGGTGAGAGATTGTATCTTGTCTTGGTGACATACTTGTCTCTTTCCCATAGTAACACAGCTTCCGTCATTGGATCATACCCTTTTGGCTTTGTAGTAGGATCTCCCAGCACATAATACATTGCTTCGTCCCACTTGCCCACTAACATCGCAACCTTTTCCCCGGTCTTATTGTCTTGCACAAATCCATGAACCTGACAAAAACATGAGGGAGAAGAGAGAAGGAAAAAAAAAAGAAAAAATCAAAGTGCGACACATCCTACAGATGATAATTTGTCTTTAAATGAATGCAAAGGCCTTTTATCTTTTGTCCCTCATAATTATGAAAATAACCTGATGCGGGTTTCGGTCAATGATGGATTGCTCTTTGAACTTGAGCTTGCAGGAGTAAGTGCCGCTGCCCTTGATGCGCATAGTGCCATAGTGATCACAGTAAATCTTTCCCAGTATGATATTGTATATAGAAGTGGTGACCTTGGTCCACTGAAATGTTTCGCCATCATCGAACTGCAGGGTGAGGACACCCACGGGATCAAGCTGTATAGAACGTCCCCAAAACTTGCCTTTGAGATTTGAGTCTGCCCAGAATTTCCAACTTCTTCCTTCACAGTGACAAGCAACAACCATGGGGTGGTGACTCACCTGAAGGTATAGAAGCTTGTTATATAAACTGATGTAGCTCACTAAACATGTGACAATACATAGGAATACTTCAAACTCAATAACTCTGAACAATGAGATTCAAAAAAGAGAGAACCACATGATCTTTTATCTTTGCCTATTGACGACGGGCAGGAAACTTGTGAATTCTCAAAAGGATGCTATCAGACGTGAAATGTCAAAGACTCAAAAAATATATATATATATATATATATATTTGGTTAAAAAGAAAGTTACTTTTTCAGAGAAGAAACGGACTCCTTTATCCGGATAGTCAGCCTCATATGTCTCTCCAAGGAGAGGATTAAATGGTTTGCACTGCCGACCTTCTGTTGACGCATATCCAGACACGGCAAAAGCTGCAACGTTAAGTATTCTCATTAATTCATTTCCCTGCAACACACGAAATCTTGATTGGTCAATATCTTCAGATAACTATGAGAGATAAATCTCTCTCTCTCTCTCTCCAAATAACTATGAGAGATAAATCTCTCTCTCTCTCTCTCAAAAAAAATCTATCGCGTTTTGTCAACATAAAATGCTGAACAAGAACAAAATACTATCTGACGTATAAATGCACGACAGTAAAGTAGTAGTTGTGGACTCAAGGCCAGCATATCGACCACTCATTACCCGGTTTTAAAGTTTACTAGGAGATCATCATTTCTAAGATTCGCTTCATAACAAAAGAACTGCTAAATAGCTAACCTGTTTTCCCCATGCCAATGCTCGATCAACCAAGTATGAATACTCCAAATCTTCGAAACATTTCTGTAAAGAAGAGAGTGGTTCATTAAAATAGACAGGAAGACAAACTCCAGATAAGTCCTTCCCAATGTTGTCCTTGATAATTGACCAAAGTCCAACTGGCCTCTCTTTCTCCTTTGGTTCAGGCAAAGTTTCCCTTCTTTTAACATACGGGTATTCAACGATCTTGATTTCCCTCTCAATTCCACGCAGACGATCAGAAATGAAAGAATCCCCTTCGAATATACAGCCATTGCCTGTACCTTCCCTGCTCCTATAAGAAGCACTTCTTAAAGAATCTGAAGACAAAAAGTCATTTGTATCAAAGTATGCCCCATCATCCTCATCTGTTTCAATATCAGCTCCATCTTGACTTTCATTATCTGCATCGGAATCAGATGCACTACCCTCCGACATGACAGAATAGAAATCTGTAACATGAAGAAAAACAGCATATTTTTCAAAACTGAGAAGAAAAAGAATATCATGCATCCCAAAGAGCAATAAAAGATGATGGCCACGGAATCAAAGTAACTAACCACTAAACCTTCTATTTTGTCCACAATATGACTCCCGTTCCTTTGTTTCATCCACAACAGTAGTTTCCAGCTCTATTTTCTCTGTCTGCAAATCAAATCCAAAAAAAAAAAAAATACAATCTTCAAAAACCACCTAAAAGTTCTTTTAGCTTCATTTTACTGGACTAAGGATCTCATAAAACAATACACAAAAGAAAATCACATGAAAAAACAAACAATGCCCACAATAAAATGAAACATTTGAAATCGAGAAAAGACAAAACTAGTAAACTACAACACACTGACGTCCAGAAAATACCAAGGAACTCCAAGATCCCCATCTTCCAAGCCACAAAGCTATTGTTATCAGAAAGACTTATATACCTCTAATAGTCTCAAGGTGTCCAACAAGAGAACATGCTTATGCTGAAGAGCCTTCATCTGGTTTTGAAGCTCCGAGGTTTCCGAAAGCATAATGGATTCACAGTCCTTGATGATTGCGTCCCCAATGCCCTCCTGCTGCAACCTTAGTCTAAGCTTCTCCGTCGAAACGACGACGTCTTCCGAAGGCCAGAAATCACTGCTCGTCAGCACTCGAGGGAAAAGATCCTTAGCAGCTACAAGTGCTTCTATCCACAAAGCTCTGTCTTCTCTGGAAACACAACGTAAGTGTAGAGTCTTTGTCCCAGTGAATATTGAAAGCCTCTTATCATCTGATTTACTCGCTCGTATTGAAGAAACCTGAAAAACTCCTTCAGATTTTAAAAATTAAATGAATATATAAAAACCTAAATCATGCAAAATGATGAAAAAGTAATTGACTTTAGTTTCAGACCTTCAAATGGACTTCGCCGAAGGGCTTGCAACCCCGAGCGTAGGCGCCGACGAGCCGATTGCTGCTCCAATTCGCCTTCCTCATGTACCGCAACGAATCCTCTCCGATCACCCTAACGCTCTTCTCCCTCGCCGGACTCATCAGAATCTTGTCCGGTCCGTGAACCTTGTAATAGGAGAGGACGCCATCTTCGAGCACGAACCACCGCGGCCTCCATCCCTTGCCGTAATTCACCCACTTGTAAAGAATCCCGGCAACTCCGCCCCCGCCGGTGGCGCCAAACACCTTCGAATCCCTCGTCTCGGCGACCGCGTCTTCCGCCTCGCTGTTCACTGTCGCCGCCGCAGCCGACGCCTTGTCCGATTCCGTACGTACCGACGAGACCTGAGCCGACAAGCTCGGCTTGTAGCCGTAGCTGCCGCCGCTCCTGATCGAGGCATCGACGCCTACCTGGCACTGCTGAGCCGGCGATTTCCCGACCACCGGATTGGCCCGGTCCCGGTCAATCGAGACCGGAGCAATGCAGCACAGCGGGTTCATCGGAACCACCACAACCAACAACAACAACGAACCATCCAAACGACGCCGATCACGAGAAATGCCCGCCGCACCTAGACCATCCCGATCGAGAAGCTTCTAGATACGGATCATTCGGGTCGGACTCTGAACGGAAAATGCAGAACCCGGTCGGAGCGAGATGTGGAAATGGCCGGCGAAACGGAACGTTCTAGAGAATGACATAAAGATCTCAAACGGAACGGGACTTACTAGCTATAGATCTCAAATAGAAACCAAAAAATAAAAAAAAATAAAAAAAGTGACAAACAAAAGAAAAACTCTACACTCAACTCACTCTTCTCTCACTGCTCAGTTAAATTTCTCTCTCAGTTAAACCACAAACTATATATGAATAGATGTGTAGATATATGAATTGATTATATATAAATGAAATAATATAATTATTAAAAAGAAAAGAAAAGAGAGTAATTTTGGTTTTTGGGTTTTGGGGGAGAGGGGAGACAGCTAACGTGCGCATTTGTGCACAGGTAGTGATTGGGAGGGGGAAGCATGTGTCCGTTGAGGCTCTACCAGTTCTATTTCCACCGACGAAATGACGTTTTTGGGCTCCCCTTGTCTAGCGAAAAGGACGGACTGAGAACGGGGGTGTTTGGGTAATTTCGCAAGCGGGAAAGCGATCTCGTAACGACGGACCGGACCGGACCGGATGTTCTGTGAATACGAGATTGGAGATTTTGATGTAGTAAGGAGTAGGAGCAGCACTAGCAGAAGTAGCCAAATCCAGTGAGGGTTGATTGGGATCCTGTGCGGCGAGGGTTCATGGGAAGAGATGGAGGTGCGGCGCGTTTGCGGCACTGATATTGGCCCAACTGCCGATTAGTTGCCATCGCTGCCATTAAATTGATTGACTATTGGACTTTATGAGCTGCGAAACCTCTGATGTTGCTCAGAACTGCAAATCATCGGAGAGAGAGTAAGCAATTACTGCGCTGATTACGTATATCTGTACCGTTTCTATATGTGTGTGTGTGTATATATATATAAAATATTATTAATTACAAAAAATTTTCTAAATTACCGTTCACTTCGCCAATTCGAGTTTAAAATTTAAATTTTATTACAGTAAAAAGCTCTCAGAAACAGTCACATCTAATTTTTTTACTACAGTAAAAAACTCTCACATAACATCACATCTTAACTCGAATTAAAAACTCGAATCAACGAACTAAACAGTACCTCTGGTAATATTTTCCGAACTACTCTTTCATCTTTAAAATGAAATATTTATTTCTTCTCAACGTTAAAATGTTAACCAAAAAAATTTTTATTTATTATATTTTTAATTTAAATTGACATTTAATTTATTATTTTAAAAATATTTTGATAATTATATAGTTTAAAATTTAATTTGAATTTAAAATATTCAGAAAAATTTTATAAATTTTTTATTCTACCAAAATAAGATTAATAAAACTTTTAATTTTTGTTCATTTCATAACTCAAGTCATATTGCTATAATATTTTTTCTCACATAAATTTAAATTTAACTTTTTTATTACATAATTTTTCTCTCACATACATAATCCAAATTATGATTTGAGTTGTGCAAATGAACGTAACATTAACTTGCATTCAATAATGGATTTATCATAATTGAAATTATAAATTTAAATTAGTTTTAAATTCAAACTAAATTTTAAACCATAAAGCTACTGTAATACCCAAAATAATAAATTAAATATCAATTTTTATTAAAAAACTTAACAAATAGGATCTTTTTTTTGTTAATATTTCATTGTTCAATGAACACGGAGGTTATGTTTAAGAATTTTTGTAATTAATCCTAAAAAATATATAAATGTGTGTGCATATATATAAGTGCTTATGTTAGGTCGGTGACAAATTTCTCTAATAAACGAACATTTTTTTGTGTGAAAATTTTGTGTTCGAAGAAAGGGTAGTGAGAAGTGACCAATGAGGCAATAAATTACTCTCTAAATAATATTTAAGATGTTTTTCATCAAACAAAAAAAATAAACAGAGAAAGAAAAAAGAAAAATTATATTGACGAATAATGAGGCAATCAAATTATTTACCTCTCGTTTTTGTTCTTCAAATTTTAAAAATTGGAAAATTTATTCAACTGTTGTTTTTTTAATAATAATAATTTTGTCACAATAATAACATCAATTCAAACACGACTAATTTATTATTCATATTAATCTTGTCAACCCGTATAACCCATTTAAATTAATATATTGAATAAATAACTAATATAATAATGACTTATTTAACACGGTTAAGACATGCTTAACATGTTTATTGGTCAATTTATCTTCCTCTTTAAAAAAAATAAATGAATTTTACCTACCAATCTAAAAATTCACATTATTTGTATTTAATGTCATATAAACTTTCATAATATATCACATATCATTAGATTGGAGATGACAAATATAGTTAATCACGTCACTTCATGTTAGAAGGTAAAACCCTGACTCAACTCATTTATTAATTGTGTCAATCTAATTATGACTCAAACTTATTTATAATAAACTTAAATCTACTAACTTCGCATAGGTTTTAAATCGTGTCGTGTCACTACTCAAAATGTTAACTCTACTTAAGAGTCATGTTTGTTCCTCGTATGCAAATATCGATACACAAATTACATGGTCAATTTAGGCCCCGTTCACTTCATCAATTCGAGTTTAGAATTCGAATTTTACTACAGTAAAAAGCTCTCACAAACAATCACATCTAACTTTTTTGCTACAGTAAAAAACTCTCACATAAAATCACATCTCAACTCGAATCAGCGAAGTGAACGGACCCTTACTATCTTCACGTTGAACGTCCTTGTCGTAATAAAAAGTCTCAAAAAAACACGATGTAAGCTTTTCACTTGATGAACTTTTTCTCTCTATGGTTATTTTCAATTACCATGGTCAGAAACTTTTTTCAAACTCGTCTATATTCAAATTAGAGCATGTATTAGGTCATAGTTTTTTTTTTTTTTTTTTTAAATTACAAATCCTACTACCAAAAAAACTTTTAAGTCCTCGAGGTAGTTTATGAAAACAAAGGTTACATTTATAATTTAAGACGATCCGGTTCCATTATTGGCAGGTAGCATTAGCATTAGCAATTTAAACAGAAGTTAATAATTGAACTCACAACATAGCCTTCCTAAAAATGACAGCAAAAGATAAAAACATCTACTACTAACCAGTTTAAGCAAAATAAAAAAAAAAAAGAAATAAGGAACAACCAAATTCTAAACTTTATTATGCTTATTTTAGTCAATGTAGGTTTAATCATTACGGGACTGAGTTATGAGTTAAGGCTCTATAAATAACAAATAATAGTAGTAGTTATAAATAAATATTAGTAATAATAGTAAGATGAAATTTGTATTAAAAATTAAAAATTTAAATTTGTTGACGTTTAAGTTTATAAGGCCATGTTTAATAACTTATATTGTATTGTATTGTATTTTGTTGTATTGTCATAAGATAATACAGTGTTTGGTGTCATGACGTATTGTATAAAATGTCAATGTATAAAATTGTTAGCGTTTTAGGGTCAAAATATAATTTTCAAAAGTTTTGGGGAATGTAATCTTAATAAAAACTTTGGGGTCAAAATGTATTGTTGTAAAAATTGAGGGTCAACATGTAGTTTTTAAAAAATATAAATTTGCATTGTGCCATATAAATTTTAAAACAATTATAGCCTATAGCATGACTCTATATCGGCCCAAGTCCAACTCCTAGTTATTCTTAACTCCAACAGAAATAATAGACCCACTATAAAATAATAAAATACAATACGTTATAAATAAACCATAATCAATAATACCATATACACTGTATTTGTATTAGTTTATATAATATAATAGTCACACTAAATATTATACTAATGTATTATTATACGTGGTCAAACAAACATGAAAGAAGAAAAAGAATCCCCCGGAGTCATAGAGATATTGGTGGAGTGTCCGCTAATAACTCTGAGGGTGCGTTTGGTTGGTGGATTCGTGTCATGGTTCAGATCATGGTTCGTTGTTCGCTACAGTATTTTCTCTCACAAAAAACACACGTAAATAAAAAATGATTCTAAATCATGATTCTGAATCCATTAACTTAAACATCCACCCACTCAGATGCTTAAGTCCCAAATCCTCCTTAAAAACCTACTTTAACCTATTCGTACCATTGGTGCAGGTAATTTGTTGTTTTTGTCATTGTTGCTTTTGGTTTGGTAATACAAACATTTAATTTGGTGGGCTTTCTTGGTCTTTTCTATTGATTTTGTAAGTGATTTTAGTGAATTACGAATAGTAATCTACTAGATCACTCCAGCGTTCGAAGCAACCAGTGATCTGTGTTGATTTGGACAATTAATTTGGTAAATTACTAGTGGTGATCTACCATATTACTCTTGCGATTGGTTCCAAAGACAACAGGTATCGTTTGCGCTATAAAAGGCTACATAATATGATAGCTTACTTTTAGTAATGTAATAGATTACTTCAGTAAGCGGCGACCAACGATGGCCACCTTGATTTCAACAACATAATCTAGATTAATCCATCGTACGGCACTAACAATAGGCTATAAAAGTTTTGGCAAAACACAACTTGTTGAGCCTTGGAGTGACAGAATTCTCGTCCCTTTAGGCTTTAATTGAAAGGACAAAATTCTTACCATCCTTCATTTAAAAGGCATTCATGAGGATCTTTCATCAGAATATAAAGCCTTTAAATTAAAACTATGCGTTTACATTTATAGTGTTATCTTATACTTGTTAGATTTATCTCTTTCTCTCTCTACCTCTTCTTGAATAACATACCTCCATTTGGGTGGGGGACGTTTCTTCATCATATGCTAATGGAGCTTCATCTTCTTATCATAGCGTGATTTTTGCTTTTGGGGTTTGTTGGGTCTCGTGGCTTGGTAGGTATCGTAGGTCCTATTTATTTCACTTATTTGAATTTAAAATTTAAATTTTACTATAGTAAAAAGTTCTAAAAAACAGTTACATTTAACTTTTTTAATACATCAAAAAGCTTTAATATAAAATCACATCTCAACTCGAATTATTTCTCTTTGATTTTTTTTTTTCCAAATCTTTTAAATTTATTAGCATTATTTGTTTTCTTCCGTTACTTTCTTTATCTAAATCTAATATTATTTCTCTGTTTTCTTTCTCCTACTGTTTTTATTTTCTTAATTTTAGTAATGTTTTTATTCTTTTAATGTTTTACTCAAATCCTGTAGTACTTTTGTTGGCAGCCAATAACATTACTGAATCATATTTCAATTATTTTTAATATATCTTGCTATCAATAGAAGATTAATACCTGAACCTATTTTTTATATGCATTATTTATTTATATATGTATTATGTATGTTTATTTATAAAATATTACAATTAGTTTTACGTTTCATTTCATTAAATTTTTTAATATTGTATTATGTTTTGTTATATTTATATGTTTATTCGTTTATTTTTCTAATTTATTTATTTCTGTTGTTTCTTCCTCCTTATTCAATTGAAGAAAGTGATGATCGTCCTTCACTATGTATTGACATAAAACATGTATCTTATGTAATTGCTATAATGTAAATAATAATTAATGTTATTTGACTTTATAGAACAAATATTGTGTTACGTATTTATTAAATCATACGAAATCTTGTTGTATTAATTGTACTATATTTGGCGCATTTTCTCAGGATTGTATTCTTAAACAGAAAAAAAAGATTCATGTATGATAGTTCATTCGATAGTATAATATTATATTTCGTTCCACACAAAAGTGAGATTCTGAATGTCAAACATAAGCTTTTCATATTTTATATTTATTTCAGTTATTTATGATGCATTATGTTAGTAATTGAAGATAAATAAGTGAACCAAATTCTTTATACGTGCAACCGCACAGATAATCCATTAGTCTAGAATACTATAGAGAGTTGCATCTTTTATGAACTCAAAATGTAAATGTAGGGTGTAAAATGGAAAATGGAAAATATTCTTTTTTTTCATTAAAAATTCCTCTTGAACTATGACCCTTGTAATACTTTACCCTCTAAATTTTAAAATGTTACATCTGCTCATCTTGAACTTTGTTCCGTTAACAAGTTTTATCTTTCTGTTACAATGAGTGACGGAATTCGTCACGTGTCAGGTAAATGACTCATCTAAAGAGGGTATTATAATAAAATACCTTTCAAAAACCCCAAGTTATTAAAAAAAATGATTAAAATTCGCCTCCACTCCATGTAGCACATTTGATTTCTCCTCCCATAAGAGCAGTGATGAATGCACCAACCACCATAAGAAAAAAAAAATAAAGATACACAAGCAGCCTTGGCTACATCTCCAACAAGGGCAATATCTCAAGTTGAAGTCCTAAAAAATTATCATAGAAGAACAAATACTTTAACACACAAAGGAAAACAAAAGGCAACTAAAAAAACCCCATAGCAGGCAACGACCCAACGAAAAAAAGGAATAAGAGAGGAAATAAAAAAGAAACATAACGGGTAATGAAAAAAAAAAAACCATCACCCTATGAATGTGCATTAACATATGGGCTTTGATTATAGGGTTTAACAAAGTCCAAACATTATCTACAAAGAAATTCAAAGGGAAAAAAAGGCATGACCAAATTAAAGCAATAATTTCAACGTAGAACGAACTAACATCCCACAATAAATAACGAAGGAAAGTGAGAGATCTACGACTGAGTATGGGAATAGACGTGCCGGAGAAACTGAAAGAGAATGAGAGGCAGTGCGGCGACGAACAAGAGAAAAAAGAGTCGGCAGGAAAATAAATGATGAACGAGGAACTCCCCATAGATGAACGAGGAACTCGCCATGGATGAACGAGGAACTCCCCATAGATGAACGAGGAACTCGCCATGGATGAACGAGGAACTCCCCATAGATGAACGAGGAACTCGCCATGGATGAACGAGGTGAGGAAAAAAATAACTGGTTTTTGGGAACAAAGATGGTGAATTCTGTCAATTAATTTATGAGATCTAATTTGATTAGGAGGAAATAAACATAATTGCACTTTCAAATCTCATTAAATAAATGATGCATGGAATTTATGTCATTCATTTATAATAGAAGAGAAAAACTTATTAACATAATAAAGTTTGAAGAGAATAGATGTTACGTTTTAAAATTTAAGAGGTACAGTGTTATAAAGAGTATAGTTCAAGGGGAAAGTTTTAAAATTAATCCTATATATAATTATATATTTTCTGATAGGCTGGTAAATATCTGATAGGCTGGTAAATACCCCTTTTTTAGTTTTGAGGGGATCAAGATCTGTCTTCAAGTTTGAACTTGATCGAGTTGATCCCAAAACGACCCAAGCGACAAGTGGAGAAATGTTCCACTGCATATTCTACTCCAACCGGGCCCACACCAACTTCACCTGAATTCTGTGATCTTACTGTTTTAGGGCATCGAATCGAACGGCCCAGAATAAGCGTCGTATATAAGACTAATCAAACTAAAGAAAACGCAGACTTATTAAAAAAAAAAAAAACAAAAAAACAAAAGAAAACGCAGCAAAAGAAGAGAGAGAGAGGAATTGGTCGGTGAGTCGTTGTTTGGTTTCCAAGAAAAGCATCGAAGAAGAAGAAAGAAAAAGGGCAAAACCAAAAACACAAAACAAAGAAACAATGATGGTGAATTTTTCGATGATAGCTGGTGATTTCAGTTTGATTTGTCGTTGTTGAAATGGGTGGTGGAGACGCCATAACCAAACCCGAGCTACCGAGCCTTTCGTTGTCGTTGTTGTTGAGTCGCCGCTTTCGCTTCGATTCCAAGTCTGCGTTGCAATCACCACCACCACCACCACCATTGTCATCATCTTCTTCTTCGATTTCGCGCTTTTCAAAGCGCTCTCCACGACCATGATCATTTCCCTCAGAGCCTCAACAGGATCTCAGTTGCAGATCCATTTTCACAGTCAAAACCAAATTCGCTTCCTTTCGTTTTCTTATGGACCCCGCCGCCTCTCGCCCCGCCGTAGTGATCGACAACGGCACCGGGTATGTGTATAAATATATCTCCATGAAGTTGTTGAGTTTCTCTTTCTGGATTTGCAAATTGCACACCACCTGTTTGATGAATTGCTTCTTTCGGTTGCAGCTATACTAAGATGGGATTCGCCGGAAATGTGGAGCCTTGCTTCATCGTTCCGACGGTAGTCGCCGTGAACGAATCGTTCCTGAACCAATCGAGAAGCTCGTCCAAGGCCAATTGGTTGGCGCAGCACAGCGCCGGCGTTATGGCCGATCTCGATTTCTTTATCGGCGATGAGGCGCTCGCTAGATCGAGATCTAGCAGCACTTACAATCTTTCCTACCCGATTCGACACGGCCAGGTTGATAATTGGGACGCAATGGAGCGGTTCTGGCAACAGTGTATTTTCAATTACTTGCGTTGTGATCCCGAGGACCATTACTTCCTTTTGACGGAGAGTCCTCTGACTGCGCCAGAGAGTCGCGAGTACACCGGAGAGATCATGTTCGAGACGTTCAATGTTCCCGGGCTTTACATCGCGGTGAATTCTGTGCTTGCACTTGCTGCTGGTTACACGACGTCTAAGGTTGGTAGTTGGTATTGAAATTAATTGATTTTGTTCATGTTCTTTATTTGTAATTCAGTTTTGGGGGCTTGGAATAATTTGATTTTGTAACATAAGACCCGTATAGTGGTAGATTGGCCATTAAGTTTGCTGCTTTTGGGTTTCTTTAAACAAAGTACTGAAAGTCTGATTGAAGATGGAGGAAGATGCTCAAAGGAGAAGGGCATGATTCTAATGCTTCAAAGCTTGCGTATTCTGATTACTTTTCATTTAGATAGCTTAATTGTAACTTTTCAAGAAAATGACACTTTGTCGATTAAGATACTAGTTTTTCCATATGCGACTCTATTAGATAGTTTCTTGTGTTGAGAAGTACTAATTGACGGTCTCTTATGTTGAGAACTATTAAATTTACCTTTCATTTGGATGACTTGGACATTGCTTTCCTAAATATGACACTATCTGGTTAAGGCTCTAATTCTGGTGTGGGACTCTGTTAGATGGTTTCTTATGTTAAGAAATACAAAATTACTATTCACATTGCTTAACATCCTTTAATTTCTTGCTAGCTTTGTATCCTGCTTGACTCTTTGCGTATTCGTTCATTTCTTATTTGTTTCATTTAATAATGGATGATACTTGGATTCTTATTATTATTATTAAGGTGCAAATGCGTTAAGTATTTCTTTTTATTTTTTTTAAGCTTCGAATTTAGTTGTAATATGTATTTCTTGCTTAATGTGTGGCTGCATATCCTTTAGAATGACCCACAGTTTTACAGTGTGAGATGACAGGAGTTGTAGTGGATGTTGGAGATGGGGCTACTCACGTTGTTCCTGTTGCTGATGGTTATGTTATTGGAAGTAGCATTAAGTCAATTCCCATTTCTGGGAAAGATATAACGCTTTTTGTCCAACAGCTTATGCGGGTATGTTTCTCATCCGATTTCCAGTAAGGATATTACATTAATTCAATCTTGGTAATTTTCTTGGGAGTGAGGGGGCTCATGGTTGGAACGGAATTCCCATTGTCATACTACAACTGTACACGTTTCACTATATTGTGATAGTGCTTATTACTCGTTATTTGTCCAAATGTGAATAAATCGAATTTGCTATTCTAACTCAGAGTCATTGATCTTACATGTTTGTTTCATGTAGGAAAGAGGAGAAAATGTACCGCCAGAAGACTCCTTTGAAGTGGCCCGTAAAGTGAAGGAAACATATTGCTATACCTGTTCCGACATTGTCAAGGTTTCTTACTTAATTATTTCAGCTGACAAGATTTCTGCAAAAATGGATGTGTTTTATCTATTAGTATCACACTATCTATTTTCTGATGATAAACAGTTATTTTTAAAACTCAAACTTTTGGTAGTATTTTCCAACATGGAGCTCATTTGACATAAATCTCATTTCTTTAACAATTGCAGGAGTTTAATAAACATGATAAAGAACCATCGAAGTATATTAAGCAATGGAGGGGTATAAAACCAAAAACAGGAGCACCATACTCCTGTGATATTGGCTATGAGCGATTTCTTGGCCCAGAGGTTTGTTCGTTTATTTAATATTTCAGTGTGAATTTCTTCATCTTAGATACCTGATCTTTTAATGGTTCAAAAGTAAAAAAGAGAACTTATTGTCATCATTCAAAAAGGTTTAAAAGGAACTATATATTTCTCTGCTCGCTAATATATTCTCTGCCTCTAGAACTGATGAATTTGCCTCACTGTTTTTTAACAGGTGTTTTTTAATCCTGAGATATATAGCACTGATTTTACTACCCCTTTGCCAGCTGTAATAGACAAGTGTATTCAGTCTGCACCAATTGACACAAGGAGGGCTTTGTATAAGGTGAAGCTTTGAAGATGGTTTGAAGTTTTCTCATTGATAAAATGTGTCCCAGCGAAACAATAAGAAGAGATAGGGTGCTGATATATAGGCTTATAGCCACTTGCATAATTTGTCTCACAACTCACTATCTATTGCTCTTCTTGTAATGTTATTCATGATGAGTTATGTTTGAGTTGCTCTCTCTTGAAGCCTTTGCACTTTCAAAATGTTAGTAGCGTTGTATTAATTTGCTTTATCACCGAGGTCTATGTCCAATCACCTGGAAATAAGTGTGTGTTAATCTGTGATTATTTACTTCTCTAGGTTTCATCCTTGCTCAACGTAGTGTTTTTATACAACTCATTGTTTTTGGTTTATGTTACTTTTTTGAATTTCAGAATATTGTGTTGTCCGGAGGATCAACCATATTCAAGGATTTCCATAGGAGGTTGCAACGGGACATAAAAAAGATTGTTGATGCCCGTGTTCTTGCATCTGAAGCTCGACTTGGTGGGGAAATAAAAGTAAGCATAATTGATTATTACTGAGATACAGGGGAAGGAACAAAGATAGTTGTTCTTTATAGGTTATTATTTATTCGTTTGTTTTTGGTCTCCAGTCTCAACCTGTGGAAGTCAATGTAGTCAGCCACCCCATCCAGAGATTCGCAGTCTGGTTTGGAGGTTCTGTACTTGCATCAACCCCAGAATTTTTTGCGGTATGAATTTCTGTTTCCCTAGTTTGAGATTGTAATTTTCAATTAGCTTTAAAATCAACTTCTGGTTCAATTAAATTTCCATGCGGAGCCTTTTTTTGAAGTGGTATTGTGTTATTCAAGTTTATTATCGAAAAAGTATTTTGTTAGTCAAGTAAATTGGATGTTGTACTGTTGGGAGAAGCTGGACAGTATGAAAATCAAACAGACCAGTAGATAAAAACTGCAATATAACCCAATTAAGTTGGTGACAATATTTCAACTTGGTGATATGGTTGAGAAGATAAGGAATCAACTTCCTTTCCACCCATCACTGGCCCAACTCAAAGGACATGGAAAACAGATTGAATCAAAAGTTAATTTCTGCAATTATACTGTTCTTAAGCTTATATCGCCATTCCCAGTCTTATTCTCTATTGCTAAAACTTAAATTGCCACTATATACAGGCATGCCATACTAAAGCAGAATATGAGGAATACGGGGCAAGCATATGCCGCACAAATCCCGTCTTCAAAGGGATGTATTGATGCAAGATCATTTCGTTTGATTGGTTTTCTGGCATATCCAGATAGAGCGTCTGATGGAATGCCTTGTCAGTTCCACCTCCTATACACACGGCTTTTAATTCTCATCGTGATGTTTTCCTGGCCTCGTGTGTGCACACGTGAGAGGTGGTGTAAAATATTGTCCATTGATTTCATTTTGTAACAAAATGGATTTCTATTCATTATTTTCTTAGGGAGTTGCAGATCACCCCAGAACAGAAGCCAATAGGAAGTGGTCAATAATGTTTCTGGCAAGTACGTTTGGCCCTAAAGAATCAGATGAGAATCATCAATCGAGTAAACGTCGTTAGGGCTGAATTGCATTTTTGGTGGTCAGTTTAGTTATAGTTCGACAGGATTATCATTGATCTTTTTGACCGTGAGGATTCTACTAAAATATAATTTCAGATAGGTTGTCCCATTCATTTAGATTTTGCTCATTGTACTATTATTAGTTTAGTTTGAGTTACAAGATATGTTTATGAACATACATTGCCCTTTGCCCAAACTCATTTCATTTTCATGTAATATGATTATGATCATTAGAAATTGAACTTTTGTCAATTGGGCCCGAGTAATCTTACAACACAATCTGTCCTCGCTCATTCAACGCTTTGGGAGATGGATTTTGTTCATTACTTCTTTTGTGTGTAGTATATAGTTAAACAATTATTTGTACAAATTACTTGATTATCAGTTTTAGGATGAAGTAAATCCCTCATTCTAAGAACCAATCGCATCACAATGAACTCTGGAAATAGCTCATCGAATTATTCTCAAAATTTTGATTATATTTTACTTTCATAATGGAGCATTATGAGTAGTAACCCAAATCACAAAAAGGGACGTCTCATTCTGTTGGACAGACACTATGAGAGTATGAATAAGATGCCATCCAACAAACACAGTTTCATCTCCTGTTAAAGTAAGAAAAGTTATCGACAAAGTTGAATGTAAATTATGGCAGTCTAAATCTGCTTGGTGAAATGTCAGTGCCACCATCTTGCTTGATTTGTATTTTATGAGCATGTCACTTTCCATCCTCTCTTTCTCCTTCACCATCACTATCCACACCAAAAGAAGAGGAAAAGATGTAGAGGAAAGGAAAAAAATAATGTGCGTGTTTAAAAACTCATTTCAAAATGATTTTGGACTTGTTCAGTTATACTTTTGAGTTATGATGATTTGAGTGTAGATCTTGAGTTGAAGTTGTAACTTGAGTTTATGTTTGGTTGTGTACATTTTAGTTATAGTTTGAGATGAAAATCTTTTTAAGTTTGTGTTTAAGTGAGTCAAAATTTGACTTTGTATTTATATAATATTTTAATAAAAACTCAATGATGATTAAAAATTTTAATAGGGTATATGAGTGAGATTTTATTCATCTATTCGTTGTGAACGCATAAAAAAAAGAATAATCTTAATCGGAATTAAAACGAAAAAATTATAGCGTTTTTAAGAATAGAAAAAATATTGTTCATTAACTTGAGTTTGAGTTTAGAAATTTGAGTTAAAAGGGGAAACTTGACCTCATATTTTAACCCCAAACTCAAGTTAAAATTCAAGTTAAAACACAAGTTCAAACTCAAATTTTACAAAAGAACATGAACTTGAATAAAGTTATAACTTGAGTTCAAACTTTTTTTGAGTTTGGGTGCAAACGAACGAGCCTAAATTTGTTTTTTGTATGAAAATGAGAATGAAAACGTTTTCAATCTCAGATAGAAATCATTTTTAAAAATGTGTTTGGTAGTTTTATTAAGATATTATTTTCGGTATAAAAACCCACTAATATCTCTCTCTCTCTGCTCGAGAGAGAAGAAAACGAAAATAAAAAATGAAAAAACGACTAAAAGTCGTTTTTCATTTCTCTCTCATTTTACACTAAACTAAAAAATTATTTTTATTTTCGTTTTTTATCTTTAATTATGCCAAATACTGATTTAAAATTATTTTTATTTTTTTAAAAAAACGTAAAAAATAAAAACAAAAATAATTCCAAACACAACAAATATATAACCATTATCAACAATTATTGCTTTTAATTCGCAAAAAGAATATGAAGGGCACTATTCAGTGACTACTTTATTGAGTGTTATGAGAAGACCTTTACAAGCTAAGGAATATTCATGTTGAGCTATAGCTCAGGGAGATAAAGCGCGTCACTTCTTTATATTAATGTAATTAAATGTTTCTTGAATTTGATCACATCAACCTAGAGATTAGTGAACGAACCAATTCAAATACCTCTGAATGAAGTAAGAAAGAGAGTTAATTGCAAAATTACTCACCTACATTAAAGAAGATGTTTGGTAAGAGGGAAAAGTGAAAAGAGATGAGAGGATTAGTGGAAGGTTTTTAAAACTTATACTTGATTGATAGGAGAGAAAAAAAAAGAAATAAATTAGAGTAGAGATTTCAAATCTTTTAAAGACCTATATATATATATAAAGAAAAGAATCCTTTCCTTCAGTAGCGGAAAAAAACAAGAGTCCTCTCTATTATATCCAAATACCAAATTACTTAAAACAAATATTTTTTTACAAAAAATTTTTGGTTCTCTCGCTTTAATTTTATTTATTTTGAGTAATTATATTTGCACCCTTAAAATTCATTAATAACCCCACTATTTCATAGTGTGTTTATTACAATTTTACCATGTATTAAAATTCATTAATATACCCTACATTAACTACAAATAGAAATAGTAACTTTTTTTTTTTTTTAAAAAAAGAAGAGGATACACTCACATTAGTTATAATTAGAAAGTAATTTCAAAGGAATAAAAAAACATACCCCACATTTCTAGTTAAAGTTAATTCCATCTTCATAAACCCTAAAATTTTCTCCATTAAATTCTTTCAAAATTTTAGTGGAGGTTCCAATTGAAACCAAAAAAACAGCATGTTTTTTAAAGAGTCGACAAATGTTAAAAAGATATTGATTCACAATCTGCACAATTATATATAGATTTCTTTCCGTTTAGGTTAAAACTATACATACGCTTAGTGAAAGATGTATAGCTTGTTTGGAATCAATTCCATTTTTATTTTTCACGTTTTTCAAGATAAAAAAAGATTGAGAGGGAAAACATGTTTGGAGAAAAAAAGTAAAAAAACCGAAAACAATTTCATTTTTTAGTTTAGTGTAAAATCACTTAGAAAATGAAAACAATTTGAAGTTATTTTTCATTTTTTATTTCCATTTCTTTTAGGCAGATGGGTGAAAATTATATAACTAAACGGAGTTTTAATTTTTTCTAAAACTGAAAATAATCTCTTAATAAAATTACTAAATGCATTTTTAAAAATGATTTATGTCTGAGATTAAAAACGTTTTCATTTCCAGTTTCATAAAAAAAATAAAATTATTTTGAAATTAATTCTAAACGCACCGTAGTTGCTGACAAAAGTTGTGGTTTTCTAAAGAGGCAGAAGAGAAGGAGGAGGTAAGAGGAAGATGAATAAAAGTAAATTGCAATATTTTCAAAAAGGAAATATAAGTTGAAAGATATTATATTTTTTTATAAATTATATCAATATTAAAATTAGGTGAGGATAAGGATTAAATTAAGTATTATAAAAATTATATGTACAATAGAATAATAATGGTTCGTTTAGTTGGAGGATTCAAACCATATGATTCGAATTATTTTCGATTTACGTGTATTTTTTGTGAGAGAAAATATTATAACGAACAACGAATCATGATTCAAATCAGGAAACGAATCCCTCTACCAAATGTTCCTTAAATTTTTTAAATTTTTATCAAAAAAATATTAATTAGGAACAATACTAATAAATTTTGAAGATGCAAATATAACTACTAATTTAGCACGACTAGAACTCTCTTCAGCATACAAATGCGTATTTAGCACGAGCATCGACTAGAACTCTCTTCAGCATACAAATGCGTATTTAGCGCGAATTGTATGGCTAAACGACATTGCTCGTACACTTCCTCTATGGAGAGCATGTTTGACTATTAACAGATAATAGGGTCAAAAATCGCTTTTAATTTCCTATTCGCTGAAAAACGAAGAAAGCTTATCTTAGCAATTTCTTTTTATTATTCAAAAGTAAGACTCGGATTACAACCACATGGGTTATCACTGTAGAAATTGCTTGAGGAGTATATTATACAATTAGAATACCGGAAAAAAAGAAGATAAAAACGACTACCCACAGTTTGTTTATATCGATCAGGAGTTGTCTGACCTTGGAAGTGAAGAGCCCAGCACAAGAAATCGAAACAAAAGTAAGAATATTTGTTTAATCTTTGTTTCGAATCGGATATTATGTTTTTTTTTTGGGTTCTTTATTTTTGTTGTACTCTGTTATTGTGATTCCAAAGTTACAGATTTGCTGCTTTCCGCAATGTTCTGATGATGTTGGTTGTGGGTCTCTGTAGTTTTTATTGCTCTACCTATTATGCAATCTGGGTGCTTTCAATTCTTTTCTTTTTCGATTGTGCGATTTGGTTTTTTTTTTTTTTTTTTTTTTTTTTTTTTTTTTTTTTTTTTTTTTTTTGTTCATTTTGATTTTATTTCTTGGTGAGGATATAAGAAATTTTGAGTTTTGAGGATATGGGTTTTTAACAAGTTTCAAAATGATATGCTCTCTCTCTCTCTCTCTCTCTCTCTTTTTTTTTTTTTAAATATAATTCCTTATTCATGTTTCTAGTCCAGCTTGCTTCTTTCACAGTTCTTTAAGGGATTATGATTTTGCAGTTAATATTCACTTGGTTAAACTGTAGAATCTTTCTACATATATGTTACCCATGTCGAGTATGAAGAGAGTTTTAAGACTTGTTTTTCTCTCGCTTCTGTTTTTTACAGGTGGAGTTTTTGCTTGTTCATCCCATATTGGTTAGCCTAAAGGGGATCAAATGGCTGAAGATCATATAGATTTCGAGGACGAGGAATATGGAGGGGCTCAAAAGCACCAGTATCAGGGGTCTGGTGGAGCCATATCTGCTCTTGCAGATGAAGAACTGATGGGAGATGATGACGAATATGACGATCTCTACAACGATGTTAATGTTGGTGAGGGTTTCCTGCAGTTGCAACGGTCTGAAGCACCATCACTTCCTGCTGCTGCTGGTGTGGGCAACGGGCTTCAGGCTCAAAAAAGAAATTTTCCTGAACCGAGAGAAGAAATTGGGGGCTCTCAACAGCCAAATATTCCTGGAGTGTCAGCTGAAGGAAGATTTTCTAGTGCAGGATCCCAATTTCCTGGCCAGCAGGACGGGCTTAAAGTTGATAAGAAATCTGAAGCGGGCTCTATGGTTTACCCTGACGGGGCTTCAGGCTCACAAAAGGGAAGAATTGTAGCGGGATTTCAAGGATCAAAGCCCATGCTACATAGTGTTGGAGTTGATTCCTCAGATATTCCTGGAAAAATGGTCAATGAGCCTATTCAAGCACCGAATTCTGGAGGTGCTGGACCTCGAGGCATCCTTCCGATGCAGGGTAATCAAACCACTGTAAATGCAAATGTTAGTCATCCAATAGTCAATGAGAACCAGATCCGACCATCGATAGAGAATGGTTCAACCATGTTGTTTGTGGGAGAACTACATTGGTGGACAACTGATGCTGAACTTGAAAGTGTTTTGTCTCAATATGGGAGAGTGAAGGAAATTAAGTTTTTCGATGAAAGAGCCAGTGGTAAATCCAAAGGATATTGCCAAGTTGAGTATTATGATGCAGCAGCAGCCGTTGCGTGCAAGGAGGGAATGCATGGTCATGTTTTTAACGGGAGAGCTTGTGTTGTGGCTTTTGCATCTCCACAAACGCTTAAGCAGATGGGAGCTGCTTATATGAGCAAGAATCAAGTTCAAAATCAGTCTCAGCCTCAGGGAAGAAGGCCCATTAATGATGGTGTTGGGAGAGGAGGTAATCCGAATTTTCAAAGTGGAGATGGAGGGAGAAACTTCGGAAGGGGTGGGTGGGGTCGGGGTGGGCAAGGAGCACCCAATAGAGGTCCTGGGAGTGGAGGGCCAATGAGGGGAAGAGGAGGGGCTATGGGTGCAAAGAACATGGTTGGGAACAATGCTGGAGTTGGAGGTGGGGGATATGGGCAGGGTCTTGCGGGACCGCCATTTGGTGGTCCTGCTGGTGGTATGATGAATCCACAAGGCATGATGGGTACTGGCTTTGATCCAACATATATGGGTAGAGGAGTTGGTTATGGAGGGTTTGCAGGACCTGCTTTTCCTGGAATGCTTCCTTCATTTCCGGCAGTTAACACAATGGGATTTGCTGCAGTGGCCCCTCATGTCAACCCCGCCTTCTTTGGCAGGGGTATGACAAATAATGGAATGGGTATGGTGGGCTCTTCTTTAATGGATGGTCATCAAGGAGGAATGTGGAATGACCCGAGCATCGGTGGATGGGGAGGAGAAGAACATGGCCGAAGGACACGGGAGTCCAGCTATGGTGGCGATGATGGTGCTTCTGAATATGGCTATGGAGACACAAACCATGAAAAAGGAGGACGGTCGAGTGCTGTCTCCAGGGAAAG